AATCTGTATACTGATATTTATGTAAACAAATCCACTAAAGAATCCCAAGAATTAATTAACATCACTTTTAACAGAGAACGGCAAATATTAAAATGACATTCTAAAATATAAGATTAATTTTCTCCCTCTGACTTCTGATGCAATTTCTACGACGATTTTTTCCTTCAAAAGCTGTACAACTGAAGCTCTTTGGTATATGATGATGATTATATCCAAGGTATATAGGATATGTTATTAATAATTTTTTGTGGGGGGAAGACGGTTTGTTTCTTTGTATTTTTTCCCTATATTTTATCCAACTCTTTTCTTTCTAAAGTTTTAAAAAATCCATCTCAGCTGTGTAGTGATCAAACATTGTCTTTCAATCTGGTCTAATGAGACAGTTAAAAGATTTCAAAATTATGTTTCATGTCATGCTTTATACCTCCACTCCTCCTCAACCAAGCGAGTCAGTGAGGAGTGGTACAAGATAAGAAGTTTATCATTTCAGGTCTTGGTCCTAAAGATATCAGCTTGGGGCTATAACAATAGAATGTTTTTATTGTCAGAAGTGAAATTTTTCAGCAAAAAGAAATTCAAGAAGAATTTCAGCATAATTTTTCTTTAAATTACTTTTTTATTTTATAATAAAGAGAGAAAATTTGCAAGAAATCTAGTACTCTGCTTGCCTCCAGGACTTTACCTGCACATACAGTGGATGTTAACACTGTGCAATTACCTAGTATGACATAGAACCAGTGCTGCAAATCTTTATTTACCATGGTTGATGCACTGGTTTTGACAACTTTATTTTCCCAATGATGCCTTCACGCATGAAGACGTGAGAATAGGGCTATAATGTGCTTGATTTGCCTTTGGTTTTTGGAAGGATCTGGAAGAGATGTATGACCATGTAACTCCTTTTCAAAAGGTTACTGTACTTAAATGCTTTGAAACTCTGCCGATAAGTCAGTGACAGATATCTGCATGACTCATAAAGAGAATTGGTCTTTCAGGTCACATAAGTACTTTTGAAATTTTTAGCTTGTGTCATTCATAAAAATATTTACAAAAGATGTTTTTAACTTAACACATACCCCACGCCTTCTTCCCCCATCATGACTGAATTAAAAGTCTAGACAGGGAAGCTGGTTCAGAGCCTTGTTTCTGGTAGAAGGCCAGATGAGCTCCACTAATATTAAGATTTTTGGCTTTGGCATCAAAAGGCTGAATTTTCTTGGAACATCAAAACTGTTTTTCTGCTGTGATATTGACACTGGTGCAAAATGTATGTTGTGAATAGCAGTTGATTTTGTTATGATATAAGTGTGCAGTAGGCGGAGATGTTTTCCTTCTGATATTTGTGTCAGGGAGAAGCTGCTAATAGTAATGTAGTAGAGAAGAAAGAAATCAGGTAGCAAAGTGCAAAACAATTTTTTTTTACTTGATTTAAGCCTAAAGGGCCATGCACTTAACATGAAGGATATATATTTTTAACTATCTCTTCTGCTTGTTAAGACAGTGGCATGAATGTCATATAAGGCATAATTCCTGTGAAATTAACATAATGAGTTTATAGAAGTTATTTCCCTAGAACTGTAGAAATAACAGGGGAGAGTGGACATTGTATTAGGTCCATAGGTTTTTCATGGGGCCACAGAAAATACATCTTTACATCTTTCCATCATGTGGAATGGGAATGGAAAGAAGCATCCGCCAACCCATGAGAAAGGGTAAAGGATCAGTCACTACAGTGCTCAATGTGCTGTTACTGGACTGTACTGAGAGCATCCTGGGAACACTAATGCAGAAAACTGTGTTATTATGACAACTAAGGCAAATGTTGAAGAGGAAACAAGCAAAGGTTGGTCTTCTCAGTAGAAACCTGTCTGCTGGAGACACTGGAGGTTCTGCATATGGAGCATGGAGTATTTTCAGAAACATGGAAAAGGGATAGTTGGTCTAGATAATAAACTGACAGTGAAGATGTGCAAAAATATCTTGTGGTATTAACTATAGAATGAGTAATGACAAGGTCTAATAGTGGTGATGGTTCTATGAAAAGTGTCAAGTTGTGGTTTCAATAGCAGACAAAAGGGCAAACAATGTGAGGAACTACTAAAAGAGTAAAAAAAACCCATTAATTATGCCATTTTCTAAATCTGTGGAGGACTCACACCATGGGTTCTATGCACTAGGGATGCAAAAAATGTACAGAGAAGATAACATACTCAAAGGTATGGTATTACCTCTGTATAGGAAATGACCACATAGACTGACATTACTCACTGAGATTACTGAGGAATGATAAAGATCTGTACTTAAAAGTAGCATAGACAAGATGAATATGGGTTGCATGTGCAGTTTTTCCTTAAAACAAACAAAACTCTCAAAGCATTAAGAGAATATTTAGTTAATTGGGTACTAGTTCAAAACATGAATGATAGGAAGATGACTTTTCACCAAATGTATGACTAAACTGTGGAATATATTATTGCAAAAAACTGTGGATGCCAGATCTTGGGATGATTTCAAAAACTAATGGAACAAATTCATGCATGAGAGATGCTCTTAATAGGCAATTAAATGCAGAGATACCACCTCCATCAGAGAAACTCCAGAGCTGAGGTGTAGATGGCTGGAAGGTGTGAGACCATGGTGAGGCAGCAGCACTACTCTTACATTCTTTCCTAACCATCCACTGCCAGAAGCAAGTGTAGTGTACAAGATGGTTTAGGTTGTTTCTCAGTCTGGTGTTGTCAGGTCAGTCTTAACATGTGCTGCTCTGATATTCAGAGACCTAAGTTTCAGTTCAGGGCAGCACTATGGACATCGTGCCATGGAGCAGAGAGATAAGAGACCCTGCCCTGTAGTAATGATTTCTTATTGTGGTAGGTTTTACAGCTGAGCAAAATGATGAAGCAGAAAGAGGGAACATTTTGGATGATGATGTCAGGTTAATGACTATGGTATATTGCAGTTAAAAGCATAAAGGAACTTGATAATCATCTGTGGACTGTGGTCTCTGCTGCTGGTGGTACACTAATTCAGAAGTTAAGGGAACAGTGGTGATATACTTGAGCTGAAGTCCCACATATGTGGTGAAAAGATGGGTACAGAAAAGGCAGTTTTAGTTTGGTTAAGGAGGATCAGTAGAAATAACAAGATCTGATGGGAAAAAATAACGTACAATCAAAGAAATTGAAAGACCATTGATAATGTGCAGAGGAATTGAGTGCATTCAGAGGCACTTGCAATTCTGGTATTTATTAACTTTGAACAGACTTCAGAGGCAGCTTGTAATTCTGGTATTTGTTAACTTTTGCCTATTTATTTTTGTGAATTTAATGTACTTTTAAGGTAGATTATTGTTTCCTGGCAATGAACATTCATTTTATTAAATGTAGTTCCTCTCTTGCTAGATTTCAAGTTTTAGGTGAATAAGTAGAATTTGGCAATTAGATTTTTTCAGATAAAAAAAGAACTGAAGAACCCCATGAAGAAAGAAGATGGTAGGAGTGAAATATACTTTAAAATGTAGACATGAAGCACTGGAAACATTAGTGTTAAAATTTTCTGATATGGTAGGTATTGTTTGTCTGAAAATATGTATATATTTTCATATTTACCAAGTGTTCAAGTATCATCACTGAGGGAAGCACAGCAAGTTGTGATGGTACATGAAAAAGGCCTTATTGGCCTTTTGTTTACTGATATAATTTGCTATCAATCTTCCCAGTTCTCTGGATTTGGTGGTAGAGTGGGTGGGAAAGAGTATTAAAGAGCAAGATATTTTTCCTTGTGATGACTTTTTCTGACACTGGCGGACAGGTGGCTTGGGCATAATAGCATTTGCCTGGCAAAAGATGGAAGCCAGGCTACTGTTTTCTTGCCAGATTCTGCCTGGTTAATTTACCCAGTATCAAAATATTTGCTTACTTTCTTGGATAAAGGAAAAAAAGGAAAAAAAAGAAGTCAGGATAAAGGAATAAACTAGGTTTAGCAAAGGAAAAAAAAGAAGTCAGGATAAAGGAATAAACTAGGTTTAGCCCATCAATTATTTTTTTCACTTTCTATGCAATTTGCACAAGGAAATAAATCTAAATCCTAAATGATTTTTCTTTACCAGACAGCCCATATCAAGATCATATATTGATTACAGCTTGCCTTTTTGTGCTCTGATGCTTTTATTGACTTTTCTCTTCATTGCCCTCTGTTGCAGTACCAAAGTGATTGGATTAGTGTGTTTTCCCTGTGGGATTACATGAGAAATCTCAGATGCCTTACAGATGCATATATTAGGTCTCCAAATATTCAGCGTTCACATAAAATGAACAAGAAATATATATTTTTTAAAGGAAAGTATGAAAGACACTCTGATAAAAATACTTTTATTTTCCTGTTGAAATACCTGGAGATCTGTGAAGAAAAGTAGGAAAATCTGTTTAAAGCAGACTTTTCCTCAGAACAGAAATATGGCAAGACACTTGAATGTCCATAGGTGTTCTGCTAGTCTGTGCAAGTCTGATGAGGTATGCTAGTGTTACCTTTTTCTTCCCCTTTGTTTCTTTAATTTGGTAGAGAAATATCACTGAGTGGATTCTCTTTTATATTTGGGCTATTACACATCAGAACAGAGGAGAAGGTTGCACTTTAGTGACCCTACATATTCCTAGGGAGGGGATGATTTCTCCAAGGGCAGCAAGTATGAACTTCTGAACACCTGAAGTTGTGTGCTTAGTAGAAGCCACATTTACTTAGGACTTTAGCTTTCCTGTGTTACCTTTTCCCATCAAAGAAAAAAAAAGTGCTAGTCCTGTAGGTAATAAAAGTTATAGAAATTTCACATCCAGTGGTATAGCTTTTGTTTTATTGGTAGCTGGGGGAATGTTCATACAAAGTCAAGTTTTGAAATGAGGGAGGGGGTATGAGAGGTGCAGGTCTGGTGAACACAGGCTGGAAGCTTTGGGATGCTGCTGAGAGGTGCAGGTCTGGTGAACACAGGCTGGAAGCTTTGGGATGCTGCTGAGGACATGACATTTCTAGGTTAAAAACCACTCTGATTTTCTTCAGTATGAGTTAATACTTTCTTCCTTTAGTTTATCTAAGCCAGTTATAAATCTTCTCCCAGTTTAGTACGTCAGCATTTCTCAGTTCTTATCATTCTTGCTTCACACAGTTTCTGTGAGGTAGGCAAGCACTAGTCTGTACAGACTGAAGGAATATAGAGAATTGTTGAAGCAATTGCTTCCTGTGTGTGGGAAGGTAAAAAGCAAATTAGATTACAACAGTATCACAGTAAGTCTTTTCCTTATTCAATTGTCTTTTAATCAACCCTTTGCTTTTCCTGTTTTTTTTTTAATCAAGTCCAAAGAAAAATGTAGGTAACGGGTACTTGAGTTTTGCAGAAATACCTCTCCAAATGTCCCTTAAGTGGCACTTAATGTTTGGTTGGAAAGGTGGTGAAAGGTTGGACTCAATGATTGATCTTGGAGGTCTTTTCCAACCTTAATGATTCTGTGATTCTATTTTATTATCACTGACATAATCAAAATGGGATGGGAGATCCTGTTAGGCTCCCTGAGTGTTAAGACAACAGATTTTGGAATTCTGGTGGTTTTGGAGAAAACGATTCAACCTACTTAGCAGTTCTAAAAAGCATCTTTGTGGTGTCTCCCATGCCACATGGTGGGGAAAAAAAACAACAGCTGAAAGCTTAAGAAAACTCCTGTTGAAAGATTTCCTCAAGTCCTATTTAATGCTGCTACAGCAGAGCAGCCAGTGTTTCCCAGTACTGAGAGTGCAGCAGTAGGGAAGCTGCACAGTGCTGGAATAAGCACTGGAGCTTTTCACTGCTCCTCATCAAGGCAGAGGGTGACCCACCACGCTAGTGTGGGACAGAAATTGCCCCTCGCTCTCTGCTCCTGTGGGAAAGTCAGCACGAGCTGAATGAGCAGTGTGAAACACCATCATTTCTGTCCTTTCCTGAGAGCCCTGAGCAGCCAGGATTGGATCACTGTCTTGGTAACTTAGCACTTCAGCCAGTGTAATGTCCAAGTGTGCATTTAAATATAAGCAAGAAAATAATCCCGCTGGAATCAGTTAAAGGTCCTGTGCTCAAATGCTTTACTGGAGAGGGACCTGTGCTTGCAGCTGGCTGGTTGGAATGCCCTATGCAGGCCTTACACTCAGGACTAACAACTTAAGTGGTGCATAGGCTCTGAACAGCTCAAAGGATATGGTAATTCTTGCAGCATTTCCTAATTTTTGGTATTTTAATCAAATTGCTAGTGGTTGAGTAACTAATGCAAAACTCACAGATGCAGGGACACCATGAAGCTATTAGAAATTTTTCTCTTACCTTTTATTTCCATATCAAAGGTATTAATGGTAGTGGCCATTGCACAACAAGTTCCCTTCTGCGATGTGTGAACTCCCCTGTGACCCTCTGGAACTGATTTTCCTGATGGTGAAAGAGAAAAACACAGAGCAGCTACTAATCACTTGATAGGGAGCACAGCATATTCAGGCAGTGGTGGCAGCAGTGCTCACCCCAAGAGTTTTAAAGGGTGGACCTGGCAGCCTGTTAATTTAATCAGGCTGCAGTCAGGCGCTATGCCTGCCCTCTGGTACAAGAGCAGCCTGTTCCTATCTGCCACTCAAAGTGACAAGCTGTTTCCCTAGTAATTAATTCATTAAAAAGTAATGAGTTTGTCAAGTTAAAGAGGTACATGGTACTCTAAAAATGGAGGGGGAAACTGCTAACAATTATAACATAAAAAAGATTGCTTGGGCTCTAGGAAGGCATAGTGGGACTATATTTCTATTTTCACATCTGGATAAACAAAAAGATAGATTATACCACAATAATTAAAAACTAGGGGTAGATGATCTTTATAGACTGTTCCTTTGAAATTCATGCAACAGATACTAATGCAATAAAATAAAAATGGATTAGAATAGTGAATTGAAAAAAAAATATGAAATGTAAATTTTGTAGGATTTTTAACTGGATAGGTTTATTTGTCAAATATTCATGGGAAAACTTATTTTTAATGTAGAATCTCTTAGACTCCATATAATGGATTTTTAGTATTGTCCTTTATGTTTTTTATTCTTTATTTTTGCTTCTCTCTTCTACTTTTCCTCCTTTTCATGAAGCAAAATTTTTTTAAAAAATATATATAAAGTCTGTAGAAACAGATTTCTCAAAAATCAGAAAAAAACCTTCAGAAAAGCAGAAAGTCCTTTTTAAACATAGTTCCAAACACAAATCTTTCAACCAGCTCTTGTTACAATTTTGACTAAATACGCTCTGCAGGCCATATTGAAAAGATAGTCTTTAGCAAAGAACAGGTTATCTTAAAAATTAAAATAATCAAGAGAACTGTTCCAGGCAGTAGAAGCTCCAGTGCAGGAGCTGTGTTAGGCTTACCGAGAGGAAAAGGGATGGAAAGGTGTATACAATGCCTCTTCTTCAAGGGAGGAAGGAGAAGAGAGGAATTGTACAGCCTTGCTTGATGCAGTTAGGAGCTGTGAAAATCAGCTGGCTGAAACCCCAGCTCTTGTAAACTGAGATTATAGTTGAAGGTGCCTGTATTCACTCCAGCTGTGAATCTGTCCCAAGGAGAAATAACTTCAGCATAGTCTTTCTTAGGAAAGTATTGGAAATATCTGACTCTGAGAGTGCAACCTGTGTGTGAACAGGAGCATTTTCAAAGCTGGTTAAGGTGAAGCCCTTGTTTGAAGATAACTGGAATGGCTAAGCCCCTGGAGACTAATTTTAGGGCATCGCCATTGGAGAGCCCTTTAGTAAACCCCTGGTGTTTTCCTGACCCACAGTATGCTTCTGTTTAGCTCCAGATCAGCTTCTGGCCTTGCTCCTCCCCTTTCTATCCCTGTTACATTTAATCAGCCTGAGTACTGTTCACAGCTCCAGCTGTATTGATTCTTAGAGCAGATTTCAGCAGAACCTAAAAAAGGAAGCATAGACTGCTCCCCTCTTCCTTCTTTGACTGATGCTTTCTTTTACCCTACATGACAAAGTGATAGATGTACTTAGTTAACTTTCTGCAAAATCATTAATGCCACCCTTGCTGGTTGGCTTCCCAGGTATTGGTTAAATAGCTGTCATGCGTTTGTTACCTGAGACACTGCAATGCTGTATAATCAGACCATTCGTTTTCTTCCAAGGCTGGTCCTACAGAAATGGTTTGAAATGCATAGCTAGGGGAGATAAAAACTAGCAGTCTTCCAGGCAATCAGATTTTTCCTGGTTTTGCCTCAGATTAAAGCTGCAAACTGGTGAAAGTTCACTTGGGAAAGCTGAAGTAACAGTTTCAGTAAGATTCTCCTGACGTATCCCTCCTTCACCCCCTATGTGATCGGTCTACAGCAAAACAATTCACAACTATCTCCCCAATCCCCTTGACTCTTTAAAGGTCCTGAGGTCACTGGACCTGCTGTCTAAGTGACTGCTCACCAAAAGGTCGTCTGGTCTGATCCCTGATGTCCCCACTGAATTTCACCTTCACTCCTTCAATCCCCATTGAGTTCTGACATTTGATAAGTGCTACTGTTAATGCTCTCCCACAGGTTATTATCCCAAGAAGGGGTGACAGTCTCAGTCTTAAAAGTGGGCACTTTAGGCAATTCCATCACCAGTCTCCACAGAGGTGTCTTCATCATGATCAAGCATGTGTCTTCTTATTCATCTGACTTTTATCTTTGTAGATTTTAAAGGCTTCTATTACTCTGTGTTTTTTTTCCCAATGAAGATTTTATATAACAGTCAAAACATTTCTTGCAGTATTGATAAACTAAACCATTATGAGTTCTTTAAGACTGTCTTTGTAAGATATTTTCTACAACTCTAGAGTATATGGGTGAATACTTTTCCATACCTAATTTCATTCTCTCAATATTACATGAAAAGTATGGAAAGCAAAATCTTACCCAGCATTAGAGCCAGCCTACAAAATAGACAGACAAAGGTAAAAAAATATGCTATTTCTCTTTTGTCCTACCCTGTTTATACAGTAAAGTGGTTTCATGAGTGGGAGCTCATTTACTCCAATTCCTAAAATTCTTTCTAGCCTTGTGGAGAGACAGGAGAGTTTATCTGTTTTGTGTGTTAGTATGTAGAAATTATGTATTCAGCTGAATTCAGCTATCCAGATCCAAGGTGTTCTCATTTATTTTTATCTAATTTCATTATTATCTCGTAATTGTTTATTTTCTTTTAGTTCATCCCCTCCTCCTGAGTCTTTGCAGCCAACAGCACCCACTCTTCTGCATATCTGGTGAATAGCCAGCAAAAATTCTTCATTTCATGAGGATTTTGGACTAGCAGCTATTTTCTGAATGATGCCAATTACAGAATTATAAATTCCTGCAGTGTGTATATCATTGATAATGATAAAAAAAAAGAGTCAGAAGCATCATAGTCAAGCTTCAGTCGCCTAGAATCTGTATGATGTCCCATAGTTTGAAGAATACAGAATGTTTGAAAATTAGTACAACCTTCCCAGCTGTACCATGACCGTGGTGCTTGTGAAGAAAATAGCACAAAGAGAAGCTCTACTTCTCTTAGAGAAGAACTACTTTAAATTCCCCAAAGGCAAATTCAAGATCCTGCACCCTGGGAGGAACAACCCCAGGCACTGGTACAGGCTGGGGGCTTTTGCATGGGTGGGCAAAAAGCACTAAGATCTAGACAAATGTAAAGATAATATCTGAAAGTGGTTATGTGGTGTTTTGTTGCTTTGTAATTGTAAATTCTGCAAGGCCAAAGACTGCAAAAATATATAATTTTGTTTCAACATGCTTATATTATTTTGACACAGAATGTTGACTAAATCCAAGGCCAAGTGGACTTAGTGGCACCTAGACTTGCCAGAGAAGTTTAGAAAGCAAGGTCTCACTGAAGCTCGTAACAAAACATGAGGGACCACAGCCTGATTATGTTAGAATCCATTGCAATAGATCATAGAGTTGTTGCTTAGATACTGCATTGGCAGTGTTCATGTATTAGCAACAAAAGAAGTCATAATCATCCACATAATCTGTCCTACTTGTGTCTGGCAGAGAACCTCTGCTCAAATGCTCTGCTATAGACAGTCAGATTCTGTTCTTAGATTTGCTGGGGTAAATTTTTTGTGTTCTTGTTGATGAGCTTTACACCAGAGTTTCACAGATAATTTCTGGTGCATCACATTCAGTGCATCACATTCAGTGCATCACATTTTGAGACTGCATTTACATTAACTATGGGATGGGAGACAAATTTTCATACTTCTAAAACTGCAATTCAACATTTTTTTAAACTTCTTCTTTTTAATAGAAATGGTCTGAAAATTTCCAAGTGAGAAGTGTTTTGTACCAAAAAATCCCCCTCTCTCTTCCCCTGCTCCTAAATATTTGGCTGCAAGTTTTGCAGTTTCTGTGGTTGTTGGTGGATGTCTTCATCCTAGCTCCTAGCCCCTTAACCAGAAAAATTAAGATTTAATTTGGTTTAAATAATAAATTAGTTATATAAATAAGTTGATTTTTAAATTTTATTTTTTTTTTACCTAACCACTTTGCAAAAGTATGAACCTGATCATGAGCATTTTTTCTGAAATGAACATACAGTGAAGACCCACACTTGTGAATAAAGACTGCATGCCTTTTTAGGGAATAGATGCTCTATTTTAAAATAATAAAATAATTTTAAATAATTTAAAATAATTTAAAAAAATTAAAATAATAGCATCTAAAATATGGTCTATTTTAGGGAATAGACCTGTTTTCCTATTTGAGTGGTACAAGGCTGGAACTTCTATGCAGGATAGATATGAGCCTTATTTCTTATCAGACTATAAACTTCTTGCCTACAGTGTTTTTAAGGAATTTATAAAATCAGGCAAATTCTTGTGGATGAAAAATAGAGATTCAACACTTAGCATTATACACTGGCATTCGAAAACTCAGATACTTTACACTGTATCTTGCACTGTCATTTTGCCTTTTGTTTTTCTTGCTGTATCTTGTTTTCCTCTCCAAATCTTCTGTACCATTCAGTTCTGTTTTCTGTCTTTCAGTGTATTTCACCTGGGTATTCAGGCCCTGGCAGCTCCTGAATGTCATTGCTTTGAAGGAACTGAATCCCTTTAATTTTATTTCACCTGCTCCCTCATAGAGGGTGACAGATGACAAACACAGTGAGGGGAAAGAGCAGCATGACCATTAGTATGAATGTGAGCACCCCATGGCTTGTTGAGAAAAATATGACCTTTGCTTTGTTAAAAATGTTAGTTGTGAATGCAAAATACAGATGTCCCTTACATAAGAAATGTAGTAATAATAATAATAATAATAATAATAATAATAATAATAATAAGTGTGTTATATAAGTAATGCAATAAATTGTTGCACTGTCTAGTGAACGAACTTTTTCTGCTTTGATTCTTGCTTTTTTCTTCCACTCTCTAAACAATGTTCAAATTCAGCCATTTTTATCACATATGTAGCATGATATCCATGAAGAAAGTAAAGGATCTTCAAGACTTGTGTGATGCTGTAGGTGCAACCACAATGGCTCCCCACTTAACACCATTCTTTTCATTTGTACTGAGCCTGTTATACCATCATTGCTTTGGCAGTGTCATATTCCATACAGGTTCCTCAGAGGAGGGTCTCTTGCCAGCACTTGTCAGTGTCTTTCAGTCGAATTTTTACTGCTGGTCCCTGTCTTGTCTTCCCAACTGTTTAAGTGGATGCCCATTGCCACGTCACAGGTGTCACACTGCTTGCTTATTACCTCGTGGTTCTGCTGAGCTCTGATATGCACCGTCCCCTTCTAATGTGTGCAAGGTGACCAGCTTCTAGCAGTGAGTGAGCCCCTGGATACCATTTCAAGTATGTGCCCCCTGTTCTTGACAGTATCTCCAGCACACTCAACTTTCTGACAGGGTTAAATTTCTGGTTTGAGACTTTGATAAAGATCTAAAAGTCTAAAACCTTTTTGCTTGTTGCAGAATGAAAACAGATCACACTGTGTCAGTGCTGTATATTTTGCAAGGCTATTCCATCTACAGGTTCTGCTGAAGGTGTTGTTGGCAATCTTAATAAAAATTCTGAATGATCTGGGCTGCTCAGCTCCTGGACCTGGGGGGATCAGGTGCAGAGCAGATGCCTACCTTGGAGAGCACCTCAGGTCTTTGAACCAGAAGAAGCAGTAGCTGCATTTGCTGGGAGCTTTCCAGTATATTGCCTGTGCTACCTTTATGATAGGTGGAAGGGATTTATTTATCCATAGTGAGTTATGATCTCATTTTTTATTAATCCGAATGAAAAAGGAATTTATTGTTTTCTGTAGCAAAATCTACTGTTGCATCTATTTGTGCCACACTTCAAGCAAATATTGTATGAATAGCTCTTGAATTGTTCCTGTAGTTCTCCTCAGCCTATTCTAAATTTAATTGGAAGGTATGTGTAAATGTTTCACTAAATTTTGTCCTTTTCTTGTTAAAAAAAAATCAGAACATGCAAAAAACCCTCAAATTATGCAAGATGAAATCACTTCTCATCTTACTGTATAGTTTGGTCCCACTGAAAAAATTAAAATGACTATGTTAGTGCAGAATATGTGGTTGTACCAAAGAAAGGAGTATGCTGCTCCAAACCTTAGAGCTGAACATTGAGAAAAAGTCAGAACTGAGAAATTTTTGTTATGGTTTGAGTTTGTCTCCACAGACTGTAAGTTGCAATGTCAGTATATATCCTGGGTGTTCTCTCCCCACAGTGAGTTGTTCGGTACAGGGATTAGATACATGCATTCTTTTTATACGTGGAGTCTCCAGTATCTTTCCATTACAGAGATTATAGAGGTCTTATAAGTGTGTTTT